TGGCATATCAAAATCCCTAATTCTGGCACCAAAACCTGCCCTTGACTTATATATGAGGTCAAGTTACAGTTGAGTATATACAGTATGTAATGAATCTGCATACCACAGTGACTGAATGAGACATAGCCTAATTAAAAGCCACAGCACTCCCTCTGTCCTCCTCCAGGTATAGCTCTGTAAAGGATAACCAAAACATAGCATAATATTGTTGCAGTACTAAGACTGGACTTCACAACTCAGTATCAGGTGAAAAATCCTATTTTGCTAGAATATGTGGACCTTTAATATTCTATAGCAATAGCAATAGCAATAGCAAGTACATTTCTATACCGCTTATCAATGCACTTCAGCACTCCCTAAGCAGTTTACAATGTGTAAGCTATTTGCCCCCAATAAGCTGGGTAGTCATTGGGGGGTTGCAGACTGCCAGAAATAGTGCAAATTGAGTCCACCTTAAGGGTTAGGGTTAGGGTTAGGGAATCATGGGAACTATATTTTATTGTGGCACCAGAGCTCTCTGACATAGAAGGCTCAATGTCTCAGAAAAAAAAAACAATTCCCATGATTCCCTAGCACTAACCCTAACCCTAAAAGTGGGCTCAATTTGCACTATTTCTGGCAGTCTGCAACCCCCCATTATAGCGATCTTGGAAGGATGCAAGCCTGAATCAATCCTGAGCCTTCACTGGTACTGAACTCGCAACCTTATGGTTTGCAAGTGAGTGGCTGCAGTGGAGGCATTTAACCACTGTGCCACCAGGGCTATTCCTTAATAACAGTGCAGTAAAAGATAACAATTGAAGAAACAGAAGGACTTGGGGGCTCTAAAAATCCAGTATGATATTTTAAACTGTAGTTTTAAACTGTTTCAATTCCACGTTTATTCTGTGCATTCTTCCAATGCTGCCTACGCCATGCGTGTACAGCAAATAACGCAATGGCAACTTTATGTCACAGAGACCGTACAGCAGAAACGAGGATGACAACTTTACAGCACCTCACCAGGCCACAATGCAGAGCAAGACAATGCTCACTGCATGAAAGTGACATTTTAATATCCCTGCCCCATTGCTTTTTATTGTTATGTAGCTGCATGAAGACAACAAGTTGACAAGGGAGGGTGGAGGATCCCTCCACATCTGCAGTCATATCTTAGGAGGATGTTTATTCATATAAGAGGGATTCTCCAGGATTTAGACACAGAATATACTATAAGGGTGAGAAAAGTCGGAAATCACTTCAGAAATCAGGCCAAGGGTCTCAATGAGATTACTATGTTAGTGGCCTGCTAGATAGCAGTCAGGTCCTGCAGAATTAGGTAAACCTAAACCCACAGACATCTTAAAAACAGGAAGAGTCGTGCTGGCATAAGAACTAGGGAGTCAGCAACGTATATTAAGGTGTCCATATATTATTTAAACATCTGAAATATGACAAGATAGCATCAGCAGTTGTGTTGACCAACAAAACCCTTTTTCCCCCAATCCTGAGGGCCTTTTCAGCAATGGCCCCAAATTTGTGGAATTTTCCCCAATAACGTGGCTTGCCTGTCTTTTACTTTTAAAAGGACCTTAAGCTATTTTTATTCCACTGAATTTTTTATTGCTTTAAGTGCCAGCATCCTATATAGAACTTTATCTAAAACTGTTTTATTGTGTGATTCATTTAATTGTTCTTATAGTTTTTATTATGAACTGTCTTCTAACGCTTGACTTAAAAAGGCAGGAAAAAATAAACCAAAAATAAGATAAAAATTATAAATAACATACAAACATGTACTGAAAGAGTGGTGAAAAGCCATACTTTTGCCATCATGAATAAAAGTAAAACACAGTAATTAAAAAGGAGGTGATGCCAAAGAAAAAACGAATGGACACATAAAGTAAACCTTTTTGGCAGATTCTTATTATCTCTTGAAATTATTTGGGTAAAGAAGGATATCTGTGTGCAGATGGATAAATAGGAATATGACAGTTAGCAAAACATGTTGACAATTATTTATTAAGCAACCCCCACAACGTTATTGCCTTTGTCTGCTGCTACAGGGGTAATCATCGGTTACAATCCACACAAATCTGAAACCAAGGGCCTTTGCAGACTGCCAGAAATAGTGCAAATTGAGTCCACTTTAAGGGTTAGGGAATCATGGGAACTGTATTTTATTGTGACACCAGAGCTCTCTGACAGAGAAGGTTCAATGTCTCAGAAAAAAAACAATTCCTATGACTCCCAAGCACTAACCCTAACCCTTAGACTCAATTTGCACTATTTCTGGCAGTCTGCAAAGGCCCTAAGACCCACTGAAAAACAACTCAAGCTGTGTGAAGCTGGACTGCATTCCACTTTATATGATTCAGAGTATTGCTATTACTGAAGGCAGAAACACAAGAGACTAGGATTCAAACCCATCACTGCATATCTAATAGCAAGGGGGAAGTGGAAGCTACACGTGTTACTTTTTCTGATACCGAGCTGCTCTTAAATAGAGCATTTGTGAAGAAAACTAGAATGGTTTCAAAGGAACTGTATGATCTCCTGTGTATGCATGCTACCTAGCCATAAAAAAGAATCTCAACTCAAAATAGGCAATTTTTCAAAAGTGGTTTGGGGGGAGAGGGATGAGTGTATACACTTGTCTGCTTGGAAATATTCCCCATTGAGTTAAAAGGGATTATTCCCACTCAGCTCATGTATAGTCAGCACTCCACATTTGTGGCTTTGACTTTTGTGGATCTGATTATTCACAGATTTGATTGATATGTTCTCTCTAAGAATAATAGGCAACCTTTCCCCTTTAAGGGCTGAGGGACTTCGGCTCCCAGAATCCCAGGAGCTATTGGCCAACATGGAACTATTGGCCAACATGGCTAAGGCTTCTGGGAGCTGAAGTCCCTCGGCCCTTAAAGGGGAAAGGTTGCCTACCCCTAATCTAGATCCTCCAGTGTGACTCTATGGCCAATGTCCACAAGACATCGCACTGTAGGACCTAGAGATTTTCTAGGAATTTGTAGGTCCTCCAGCACAATTCTATAGTCAATGGCTGGTAGATGTTGACCGACCACAGAGTTGTCCTGAAAGATAGAGATTTCTAGGGAGGTGTTCTCTCAAATAAAAAAAACAGTAATTTTTTGTTTGTGGTTTTTCCACTTTCACAGGGAACCTTCCACTTTCACGGGGATCCAGTGGAGGCCCACTGTATACTGTAAACCAGTGCATTTCCACTTATCTGATGTAAAGGATTACCTCCCCACCCCCCGGATGTGCCAAGGACTGGTGCCATATTTGTGCACATTACCACTGACTGTTTCTTTCCTGGAAACTCAGCGAAGATCAGCGGCCGAGGGCTCATGGCCCACCACCAGTCCTTGGGCTCCCAGTTTCCAATAGAACGTCTGCAGTCCACTGAAGTTTATGTTGAAACAAACTGGCTGGCCTTAAACGGGCCACAAAACTCCTTCTTTTCCTTCTTCCATAGGTGGAAATCATATGGCCCTCCAGATGCAACTCCATCAGCCTAAGCAGCTGGTGAAAAAGGTTGGAACAAGAAGGCGAACAGCATCTGGTGAGACACATGCTTTGCTCAGATTAGACCCAGAGTGGCAGCCATTGCCTTATAGGGCTGCATCTACACTGCAGAATGAATGCAGTTTGATACTGCTTTAACTGCCATGGCTCAATGTTATGGAATTCTAAGATTTTTAGTTTTGTAAATTATTTAGCCTCTTCTATCATGACAGTTCCAGTGCCACAACAAACTACAAATCCCAGGATTCCAAAGGGTGGAGCCATGACAGTCAAAGCAATGTCAAACTGCCTTAATTCTACAGCCTCGAGGTCAAAGATGAAAACCATGAGGTTAAGGATTGCCAGAGTGAAAAACTGGAAAAGGCATCTCTATCTTTCCTATTGCATAGACGAGATTATGTGACCTGTATGACCTGACTGTGTGACAAGCAGCACCTTGAATTTATTTATTTAATTTATTGCGTTTTTACCCTGCCTTACTCTCTCCTCTACTACACAATGATTACAGGTGTGTAGACGGTTTGCAGATAGTTTTTAATACATTTTAATATTTTAATGAATAATTGTTCTAACTTTTTTAAATAGTGTTATTGTTATTTAAGACTTTATACTTTTTAATGCTTTTGTATTGTTTTTAAATTGTACTGGTTTAATTTTGTTAGCTGCCTTGAGTCCCTATATTGAGAGAAAGGCAGGATATAAGTACCGGTAAGCAAGTAAATAAACCTGCAAGCTTTGTGCCTGAAGGCCTCTTTTCACTATGGCTGCATCTACGCTGCCGAATTAATGCAGTCACACTCTCTCGGCTTCAGGGGAAGGCAATGGCAAACCTTCTCTGAACAAATCTTGCCAAGAAAACTTCAGAATAGGCTTGCCTTAGGGTTGTTGTAAGTCAAAAATGACTTGAAGGCACACAATAACGAATGACCTGACTTTAACTGTCATGGCTCAATGCTATGGAATTTTGGGATCTGCAGTTTTGTGAGATATTTAGCCTTCTCTGTCAGAGTGCTCTGGTGCCACAGCAAACTACAAATCCCAGGATTCCATGGGACGGCGCCATGGCAGTTAAAGCAGTGTCAAATTGCATTAATTCAGCAGTGTGGCAGCATCCTAGAAGTCAGCGATGAGAACCATGTGGATTAAGGTGGCCAGAATGAAAACTTGGAGAGGGTTTCCTGGCTGTGTAGAAGAGGTTGCCCGATCTGGTTGTGTAACAGGCAACACCTTGAATGAACGTATTGATTGATTGACTGATTGATTGATTGGATTTCTACTCTGCTCCTCTCCAAGGATGGGATTTCCCTCCTCCTCTTGTCCTTGTTGCAGGTCTTCAAGTAGTTCCCAACGTACAGTGACCCTAAGGTGAGCCTATCACAGGGTTTTCTTAGCAAGTTATTTCAGAGGGGCTTTGCCTTTGCTTTCCTCTGAGGCTGAGAGAGTGTGAGTTGCCCAATGTCACCCAATGGGTTTCATGGCTAAGCGGTGATTCGAAGCCTGGTCTCCAGAGTCATGGTCCAATACTCAAAACCACTATGCCACACTGGCTCTGCTTTCCCTCCTCTACTATACAATGATTACTGGTGTATAGGTGCTCACTCTAGTTTCCACTCTGGCAACCCAGTGTGGAATAGTGGCATTAGACTCTGATTCTGGAGACCAGAGTGCAATAAATTATTATAGGTCCAAAACACAGTGCAGAAATAATCAAGTTTGAGACCAATTTAACTGCTCTAGCTTAAAGCTAGGGGAGTCTGTGAACTGTAGTTTTGTGAGAAAGTTAGGGCCTTTACAGACTGCCAGAAATAGTGCAACTTGAAGCCACTTTAACTGTCCTGGCTCAGGGCTAAGGAATCATGGGAACTGTAGTTTATTGTGGCACCAGAGCTCTCTGACAGAGAAGGCTCAATGTCCCAGAAAAAAATACAATTCCCATGACTCCCTAGCACTGAGCCAGGACAGTTAAAGTGGCTTCAAGTTGCACATTTCTGGCAGTCTGTAAAGGCCCGAACTGTCTCACAAAACTACAATGGTCTCAAACTGGATTACTTCTGCAGTGTGTTTTGGACTTCAGTCTGTAAACCACCATGACAGCCAGTGTGGTGCAATGGTTTGAGTGTTAGACTCTGGAGACCAGAGTTCAAATCCCTGGTCAGCCATGAAAACCCACTGGGGTGACCTTGGGCAAATCACACTCTCTCAGCCTCAGGTGAAGGCAATGGCAAACCCCCCTCTGAAGAAACATGCCAAGAAAACCCTATGATAGGTTCACCTTAGGGTGGCTACCTTAGGGAACTACTTGAAGGCACACAACAACAACAATATAAAGCTCTGAATTCAAATTAGAAGCATAATGACCACAATAGCTATAGGAAAATATCTACCTGTATACTACAGAGGTGGAAAAGGTTACTTTATTGGATGACGGCTCCCACAACAACGACAAGAAAAGGAGTGGAGGCCAGAGTTCGAATCCCAGCTCAGCTATAAAACCCACAGGGTGACCTTGGCCAAGTCACACTCTCTCAGCCTCAGGGGAAGGCAAAGGCAAAGGCAAACTTTCCTCTGAAGAAACATGCCAAAAAAAACCCTGTGAGAAGTTCACCTTAGGGTGGCCATTAAGCTGGGAACCTACTTGAAGCCCCACAACAACGGCAAGAAGAGGAGGGAAATCCCATCCCTGGAGATGGGTAGAGACCAGAGTTCGAATCCTGGCTCTGCCATGGAAACCCACTGGGGTGACCTTGACCAAGTCACACTCTCTCAGCCTCAGATGATGGCCATGGCAAACCTTCCTCTGAAGAGACGTGCCACAGTCCAAAATGACTTGGAGGCACACAACGACCATAATTACAAACTCCCTGCAAGGATGGGGGACTCGATCATTTTTGGGAGGGATGAGGTGGCTGGGAGGGGAACCCTTACCTGGGCACTTGAGAGGGGAGAGGAGGGAGGGAAGCAGACCAGGGACTGGAGCAAGAAGGAGGCGCCTAGTGATGGCACAAAATGGCGGCGGAGGCGCCCCTGAGGCAACAAACGCTGAGGGAACTGCTGTCGTCCTTGTTGTCGTCGCCTCTTTCTAGTCGCTCAGCCGCCTCAGAAATGTCTCTCAGTCTTTCGCAGGGTCTCCCTCCCTGAGGGAGTGCTTCTTTCTATGCCAGCAGCGCGGGAAGGGAGGCGGGTGATGGCTTAATAATGGCGCCTCAGGCAAAAGGGCCGGCCATGGCCTTCCTTCCTCGGTTGTGTTTGGGTTTCCCTGGTTACTGAGAGAGCGGCGAGGCAGAGCGGCCCTCTTGGCCACTCCAGGTGCCTCTGCACTGTGGAGATGAGGCGCTTCGACACCGCTTTGACTGCCCTGGCTCCATGCTGCAGCGCCCTGGGATGTGTAGTTTGGTGAGCCATGGGGGGGGGGGGACATTGAGTGTTGGACTACGACTCTGGATTTACCCAGCTCGGCTATGAAACTTGCTTGGGTGACTATGGGCAAGTTGCACTCTCTCAGCTCCAGGGGAAGGCAAGGGCAGACCTCAACAACAAAGCATTTGGACCCAACCCAATAAAAACAACAAAATAAATATTGGGCCTTTGCAGACTGCCAGAAATAGTGCACATTAAATTGAGGCACTGCCCTGGCTCATTGCTAGGGAATCATGGGAAGTGTAATTTATTGTGGCACCAGAGCTCTCTGACAGAGAAGGCTCAATGTCCCAGAAAAAAATGCAATTCCCATGACTCCCTAGCACTGAGCCAGAGCAGTGCCTCAATTTAATGTGCACTATTTCTGGCAGTCTGCTTAGGCCTGTTGTTTCATATTATTCTATCTAGTGTGGTACAGTGGTTTGAGCTTTGAGCTGTGGCTCTGGGAAACCAGGGTTCAAATCCTCGTTCATCCGTCAAAACCCACTTGGGCAGGCAAGTCACACTCTCTCAGCCCTAGGGGAAGGCAGTGGCAAACCTCCTCTGAACAAATCTTGCTAAGAAACCCCCATGATAGGATCACCTTAGGGTGGCCTTTAGTTGTATATGACTTGAAGGCACACAACAACAACAACAACAACAGCATGGCCATAATAAATTATTGTGTTGAACTTGATATAAAGAACCAGGGATCCTCCTTTTCCAGGACCCGCCCTCCATTTCAGCCTCCTGTCCAGGAGGAGTTTCAACCATTCTCCAGTTTAGGCATGAGTTTACATTTTTATTAGTGTTTTTAGCTTTGGTAATGTCCTACATTTTTTCTTGAATGCCCTACATTTTGTGGGGACTTTGTGGTCAGGATAGCTGGTCACTCTGAACCCACTGGCTGACCTTGAGCGAGTCACACATTCTCAGCCTCAGGGGAAGGCAAAGGCTTAGGCAAACCTCCTCTGAACAAATCTTGCCAAGAAAACCCCATGAAAAATCTCCCTGAGGGTTGCCATATGTTGGAAATGATGAAGGCACACAAGGAGGCATCAGCACGCTTTTGGCAGAGATGGCAAAAGGCCTTACAAAATTACCAATCCCTGGGTTTCATAGGATGGAGCTTGTTGTTGT